GCTAGGATCATGGCCTGCAATAGAATGTGAAACTAGTTAGTCTCAGTAAGAAATAAAAAAGAGAAAAGCACCTGATCAAGAGACAGAGGTCAAACAATCGCGAGACGTTGAGGCCACAGTGAGAACATCTATCTCTCTGTGTTTAGTTTTTTCAGTCTGGACTAAACTAAAAAAGATTGTCTCTAAACTGGAATTTTATAAACTTGGCAATTACACTAAAAATTACAGAATTAAAAAATTAAAAATTACAGAATTAAAAATTGTCGGTGTGAATGATTGCTAGACTCCTAGAGCTCCAGCGACCTCGGGATTCCAAAGAGGAGCTCGTCCTAGCGTTCCACCTTGCGGTGGTGATCGAATTCTCTGTCGATTGGCGATGTTGTTGCGGTCTAGAGCATTTAATCTGAACCGCCAATCCCTTCTCAATTTGAATTTCAGCCGTTGATATTTGTGGTGTTTTACGGGTCGTGAAATCGATAGGTACTAAAGAGGAAATCACTGAACGTGAGGCAACTCGTTTGGGTTGAGTTTCGCTTGGCACTCTCGTTTGCACACTGCTCCAAGTGAGCTAAAAGCTTTTGACCCTGTGAAAATAGAAGCTCAGCCTTGCTGTGTGAGCACTAAGTTTGCGAGGAAGAATTTTAGTACCTGTGGCAAGTCAGGATCTATCCGAGCAATAACCAAAAGTCTGCGAAGATGAACACCCAGGAATGCTGGCCTGTAGAGGTATCCAGGAGTTATGGCTTGATATGCGTGTTTTAGAGCTTCTATTTGCTTGCACGAGAGACTCCGAGCCCTCTCAACTTGCTGCCATCGATCACAAAACCAATAGTGTTTACGAGAAGAGAAGAACGAAGGGAAGAGACTACCTTCTTGAAGTGCTTCGCTGGATTGTGCTCGTTTTTACATTTTCGAACTTTCGTGATGGGAACATAATTCGTGCTGAAGGGATGCCTCAAATCCATCAAGAGAAGCTACAAAAAGGAAATGACACCAGAGCAAAGAGTCAGTAAAACAATTTTCTGTGTTAACATTCCATACCTCTATTTGTTCCTTTGGAACGCCTTTCTCTAGAACACCAAGCGTCGCTGGAGGGAACTCTACCTGCCTCTTTTGAAGAAGCTCGTACTCTTGTGACGTCATGGCAGAGTAGCAACCGGAGAATGGATCATTGCAAGCCCACTCCCCTTCGAACTTACGCCTGATCTTTGGCCAGTAGAAAACTCCCCATCCTTCGCGAGCGTCCTTGCACCATCCTCCATCGTACCAGTTCCCGTTCTGATAATACTGCACAACAGTTTCAAGGACTGTCAGTCGTTCGCCGAGAGAAGAAAAACCGAAAGAATCTGAGAAAACCTGCTTAGTCTGTAGAAACAAACAAGGAAAACGAACAGGAATGTACAAGAGTTCCCTGACCATGCCTGCGGCCTTTAAACCATTCTCCATCGTATATGTCTCCATTGTTGTAGCGCAGGCAACCCCAGCCACCATGCTCGTTATCAACAAGCTCTCCTCTATACTCCTGTGAAAAGAGATTCAAGAGAAACTTGAGAAACTACAAAGGAAACAAAAAAGGAAACCGAGATAGTACCTGTCCATTGGTGTAGTGGACTTTGCCATAGCCAGATTTTCTCCCATATTCCCACTCGCCCTCGTAGAGCAAATGATCTGGATTCTTCTTAGACTGAAAAATCCTGTGCTCGCCAGTCCCATGAGGAGCTCCTCCCAGAATCTCCCCAGCATATCGCCCTCCAGCGCTACCACTCACGAGCATCCGACCCTCCTCGTCGTGGAACTCGGTCTTCTCCTTGACATACCTGGATTTTGGCTGGATGATCCCATCCGCTAGATATGAAGTGAGCGATCGCTGCACGGCTAGCAGCGATGGCGGCTCCACATCCCTGTGGCCGGCGGAAGGCGGCCTCATGAATTTCTTCACCTTGGGCTTGGTGGGAAGCTGGCTGGGGCGGCGCTTGTAATTCATCATCGGAATGGGAGTACCTGGCGGAGATGCTGGCGGCGACTTCTTCTCTTCCGGCAGTGGCGGCGGCGGAGAGGAAGACGCCATCGCGATCGATCACGGGCTCCTACTCTTTCCCGCCTGACCTAAGTTTCAAAATAGAACGTGAAAGGGTAAACGTCATAGCGATCGACAATGGACGGCTCGGATTGGCCCTTGTTTGCTTGTGTGTTCGAAACCTGGTAGTGATAACGACCTTAACTGCTTTGTTTAGGTTTATGGGAGAAGGAAAAAATGGAGAGCCCTTCCGTCTTGTTCGAGAAGGCGATCCCAGTGACGATCAAGAGCTCCAGCGATCGACAGGCGCAGCTTACATTCCGGATTCTCGTGGGACGCAGCAAGCATCCACGCAGCAGCAAGGTAAAAATGTCGCGATTTTGTTCTCGCATTGGAATGCCGATGCGCGGATGCGCGCCTTCCAGGTCCTCCAGGTCCAGATTTCGGATGAGCTCGATCCGTTCTTTCTCTACTCGCTGGAACTAGACGACGAGGATTTCAAGAGTCTCAAGGTCGACCAGTGCATCCTCGTCGATTTCTCGGTTTTCCCTCACAAATTTATCGAGCTGCTGGAGCACTGTCTCGACGCCAAAAGCGAAGATCATCGGTACCTTCATCTCATGGGCTTTCGCGTGTGAGCTCATGACTTTGCTGGTAGATTTCTGGCAGTCTTGAATGTCCGGACGGGGGATTCCACGCTTAATGTGGTCGAAACGAACCAGTTCAAGCACGTCAACCATATCTCTCTTTGCTTTAGACAAGGTAACGATGCCACTGTGAAGTCATATCTTGCTGCAAGGCTGGGTGACTATAAGGTACGCTGCTTGATTTTTTCTTTTTTCACTAAAAATTCCGTGAGAATTTCCAGGGAGAAAATCTGGATCTTCATCAAAAGCTCCAAAAGACTCTGGAATCTCTCGAGAATTCCATCAAGGAAGCTGATAAACTGAAAGAGTACTTATTCGCTCGTTCTGTAGGAAAGTGCTAGCTAATAAGATTGTTTGCTTTGTTTGATGCAGAGATCTTGGCAGCTTCAAAGGAGCATATTCACGCGAAGTTACGGAGTTGACTGCGAAGCACACTGTGGACGTGTCTCGTGTGAAGGAGAAGGTTAGAAGCTTGCACATATTGATAATTTTGTTCCTCTTTCTCACGTTTCACTGGCGTAGGCAATGCAAGAATGTCTTGCGATGAAAGAAAAGCTGGAGCGAGACCGTGCCGACATGGAATGTCGCCTACGCTTGAGAGCTGATGCTCAGGAGAGTCATGTTTCCCAGCTGGACAAACAGGTAATTCTACAGCCATTTTATTGGTTTGCTCGTCTTCTCACCGAGGACGGATATGGTTGCCTAGTTGCGTGAGTTGACGAATATAAGGCACAATCTAGAAGTTAAAACTACTGAGTACAAAACGAAACTTGAAGTTACTGAAAAGGAGCTTGAAGAACGGCATCAGGTACCTGGTTTGGTATTCTCTATTGAATGTTTAATCCAAACTGGCATACAGGAATGTAGTTCGCTGCGCAAAAAAAATGTGGGCTACGACAACAAGCTGCAAGACTACTCCAAGCAAATTAACCAGCATCTGATTCGCTTGGCTTCTCTAGAACAGGAAGTAAGGTAACTTTGTACTGTCGAGGACGAAAAATAATCCCTGGATTCAGGTTCAAGCGAAGAATGATCTGCTTTCCAACATGACAAATCGACTGGAAAGTGAACTGTCTCATCGGTAGGTCTGTTGTTTTAATCAGCTCGGAGCACTGAAATCTAGACATTCCAGGGCAGCTTTGGAGATAGCTTTGAGGGATGCTCAAGCCGCACATGAACGGTTGGAAGAAAAAGCAAGTGCAAGCATTGCCGAGGCAAACCGACATTCCCAAGCTGTCGAGAGGCTGCAGGCGAGTTTTTGTTTTTGTTCTTGTTCTTCTCGCATGAACTACTTGTCTATCTACAGGGTGAGCTCAGGGCAAGCAAAGCTAAAGTGAAGCTCAAAGCACAAGTAACGTCACAACAGGAGACTTTACTTCAAGAAAGGCAAGTGACAATTGAGAAAAACACGGCCGACAGCAACTTCATGCGTCAAGAAATAGCGAGCTTAAAGTCCGACAACGATTGTTTGAGAAAGAAGGTAGTAAACAGTTCTGGATTCCCGCACGATTTCAACACATTCATTCGTAACAGGTGGACGAGTCCAAGGAAAAACTGGAGGAAATGCAAGAGATGGCAAAGTCTAACCAGCAAATGATTCAGTACGTACAGAATTTTTTTTACTGTGCGAAACCCACGGCGCTCATGTCTACGTTTCAGGTGGCTAAACCAGCAACTCACGGATTCACAGCTCGCAAAGCTTGGACACCACTCCAGATACTGCTACAAGAGTGGCGACAGCGCAACGAGAGGATTCGCAAGCCAGACGCTGTCATCACTGGTTGGGAGCTTATCATCGCCGCCACCACTCAAGTCGAGCAGCAGCATTCTTCCACACACGCAAACACACGCGCACCTTCACGCCTCCAGCCCGAGCAGCGTCCTCACGAACTCGTTACTCTCGAGCCGGGGAGCTACAAACGGCTCCTCACCCGTGTCCAACACCGGCATCAGCAAAGTCGTATTCAAGCCTCCACAGAGCTGCGGTGGTGGTGGCGGTGGCGGTGGCGGTGTCCACTCGAGCAGCGCGACGCCGACGACCCCGACGCCGCTGGAGACATCGTCCCAGACGACGAGCGTTTCGATCTACAAGACGGACAACCTCGAGAGCAACCAGCGGACGTTCACGGTGGACATGAGGCGCAAGCCACACCTCTCGCTCGCGGAGCCGACGAGGCTTCCATACAGCTCCAGCCACGGCGGATTTGGCACGAGAACCGGAAGAACAACGGACGAAGAAATGTCGTCCATGTCTTCTCCAGTCAGCATTGGTTGACTTTAAGGAAAAATTTGACCGTTGAAAGCCAAATCTTTTGACTGGCGCTTTAGGGTTCCTGGTGGCTATGGCGGCCACTTGCAACATCGAGGGGCGAGGCGGTGCTCTCGCCCAGCTCGGCTGTCTCTTTGTCGATGTGATTTCGACTCTCGTAACATCTGCCGTGCATTCTTTGCGTCTTCTACTTCCTGGTGCTTCCTCCAGGTCTGGGAATTTCAAGCTGTATCAAGGCCGGGTGTGGCACGAGCGTCGCCGGCCTATTTTGCATCGATTCGAGTACAACGTGAGCTACGCGCTGGTGGATCTTGAGAGGATGCCGGATTGGTTCCAGGCAAGAGCTGCGCTGCATCATCTCGGTCTTGATCAAGCCCGGGAAATTGCCGGGACAAAAGGTCCTGTGTGAGTAGAGGAATTTCTTTCTCTCCATTTGATTACAAACTGGAAGCTCGCTGACTGGGAATTCTTACAGCCATCTATTGACCATACCAGCGAGCGTGGGATATGAGCAGAATCCACTGAGCGTTTACTATTGCTACGACATAGATGGAAGTTTGGCCAAGTGCATTGCGGAGGTATGAAAGAGGCAACGTTTCTTATGAGATTAGATTTCTTTGCTTGAAGAAAGAACTCTGTTCTTTTGTAGGTGACGAACACGCCCTGGGCCGAACGAGTGACTTTCGCTTTTGACCCTCAATCGGATATGGTTCCAAAGCCACTCCATGTCAGTCCCTTCATGGTGAGTTTTCCTTTTGTGATTCCATCCCACAAACTTAAACTTTTAAGCGCAGGACATGCAAGGAACCTGGAGGATTCAAGCGTCAAATCCCGGTGAAGAACTGCAAATCGCGATTACTGTGCAGCATGCGGAACTTGGGAACAACTATTTCTCAGCAGTTTTAAAAGCCAAAAGAGTTGAGCATACCAAGGCTGCTGAAGTTCTGTTCTGGCTGATGCCTCACAAAGTCGCAGTTTGGATTTATTGGCACGTAAGTTTCGTGCAACTTTGGATCAAACTTGTCCTCAAGTTCTTTCATCCTTGCAGGCTGTTGTGCTCCTCATAAAAGGTGTCCCATTTATCGCACATCCTAAATATGTGGATGGAATTTTATATCGAGAAGTTGCAAAGGGGCGAGATAAAAAACTGAATGGGAATATAGAACGGTATTGTAGATGGCGGGAAGCGCATTGCTGGCCTTGGAAGTAAGAGGGAAAAACAAAAATTGTTAAGCTCTTATTAATTAATTACTATTAATAAATATTAATTTGTTGTGGTTATGTTTCTTGGAAAATTAACTTCAAATCCTAGTAGCTATTTGTATCAGTAGATCAAAATTAGAGAGCACTAAATGCTAAAATTTAACTTATACTGAATTTAGAAATTTAGATAGTGGATGTTTAAATCTTCTTAGCTTTAAAATCTAAGAATGGTCGAGAATTATTGAGAGATTATTGATAATAGTAATCTTGAGATCTTTGACACCTTTACATCATTTATTCAAAATATTTACAAGGATCTTTTCATCTTTTTAATATTTATTCTAAATCTATGCATGGCAGAGTCACTTTTACTCACCACTTATAATAAAGCATATATTATGTCTTGCATTGATTGGATATTCTCAAACATAGGCATATTCTCTTGGAGGAGTTTAGTGAACTGATTGCTCATGAGATCATCAAAACAGCTTATTATAATCCATCAGTTTCATGCTTCTTGGTGAGTGCCACAATACCTTATAAACAGCTAATGAATGAAATAACATGCGAAGTAATACTTAATCTGGGTGTTGAATGACTTCCCACCATCAATTATGTTGACAGTAAAGTGACAATGATGATGATCAGAAGAGCTTAGAAACTTGTCTTATTGCTCTATCCTTGCATGGTCCTGGTCATGAAGATCCAACCTCTTATAAATCCCTAAAAACATTAGACTAAAACATTTAGTGTTAAGATCTCTAGGATTATTCAAGTGTTACTCCATAGCCCTGTTCCTGGTTTTATACTTAAGAATTTACATTTAATTCCCATTCCACTACCCATGGCACACTGTCCAAGGGTTAAGTTTTACTCCATAATTATCATATAATAATTCATTATAGTATAAGGTGAAACCATGTATGCTACAAGTATGGATTTAGATACCTATATGCCAAATGCAAATAGCAAATCAAGAGAGTATGACATTAGGATGTTTTACACACTATAATTGAAGTCTCAAAACTCTTTTAGTATGATTTACATCACTTCTACAGTTTCTTAGTGGTAATAATTATAAAGTTGGTCATCAAATTTGTTTTTTTGCTCCACAGTAAATTCAAAAAGCTTTCATGATTGATGAAATTGTCCTAGTAAAAGAGATAATGTTCACTACTGCTTTACTAGTGGAACATACCATATATATTATTGATGTGTTAGTTGAGAAGATGGTGTTCACAAGTGGAGCTGTGTTAGTGGAGGAGACAACATTCACAAATGGAGTTCTTAATGATATGTTAGTTGAGGACATAAAGTTAAAAATCTATCAAAATAGTTTATACATTGGAAATGTTTTTGAGAATAGTAAACATCCAAAAACAAGACTCAATGGTTGATGAGCCTAAAGTGAGCTAGATAGTGTCTTAGGTTAGTCAGTCATGCCTAAACTACCCACTATCCATACACTCTATAGCACTTTATAAGCCCCCTACCAGCATGCTGGTCTTGGCATTGGGATGCTAAAAGTTTTAGGATTGTTCTAATATTAATTCATGCTTCTGTCCCTTTGTTCCTTGGGTTGAATGCTCGGGAGCTGCTCCATGTTCCAGTACCTTCACTCCTTAGTTGCAAGCTTGGGAGTTTGGCTTTATACCTTCATTCAATGGCCCAAGGCCTTGAAACTCAGCTCCATTGTCCTTAGACATGTGGCATATGGCATGTCATATGTGACATGTGGCACATGAAGAGTTTAGGTTCCAATTTGTGGTTATCCTATGGTAAATCACCATACGATAAAAAGTGAAAACCACATGCACTATATTTGGTATTAAGTCTTAATGAGTACTATTCAATAAGATTGAAGAGATGAAAACAAGGATTAGAGTGGGTACACATTTGGGTTATATGACTTCACATTTGTTCTTTATGTATGGATTTTGGTTATCTTTCTGTACTATATTATGTGAGCTTACACTTGGGCTCATAAGATGGATATGAGATGTTCCATTTATATGAGTTTGCACTTGGGTTTATAAGTGAGGCACATTTACAGCTCAAAGTTACATTTTGAGTTGGCAAAATTAATGTTATTACTATGAGTTGAATCATGTACCATAGGTGAAAATAAACTTTCTATGGGTTTGGTAAGAGTGGCGAATAAGCTGGTCTGTAGCTATTTAGCATAGCACTACTGGAACCTTCCTAAGCATGATTATAAGTGGATCAATCAAGATTATAGGAATTAGTCTATTAGTTCAAGAAGTTGTTATACTCTCTTATAAAATTTTCTTAGATTGGGCTATATGCAATGCTAACACAAGTTTGAGATTTGGTCAAAAGTTAAATTTGAAAAGAGAGTTATCAAGGATGAAAGATCAAACATATAAATTATCTTCTCTTCTTTGAGAGATGATTTGCAACAAAATGTGACTCATTGCTCATGTTCACATCATGTAATTGAAAGTCCTTATCTTGATACATGTTAGTTATGATAGTCTTACACGTAGTGAATTATAGGATGGATAACAGTGACGTGCTAAACCATTTTGTCTAGACTTACTATTGAAGACTTAAATTACAATGCTCAAATTTTTTCTAGAGAACCTTGCTATTGCTCCTTGAGTAGCTTAGTTTTGGATTAGTTTTGAGTTTAGTCAAAAAAAAAGTGGCATGAACTTGTTTATATTGTGAACAAAGTTGGTGATGTTTTGTGTTATAAATCTCTATCAGTAGAGTGTGGCATTTATATTGCATTTTGTTGAATTGAGTTGACACTTAATACTCATATATATCTTTATAGCAGTGATATAGGTGCTACTTGTGGAGTTGTTCAATTGATGATCATATCATTGTGATTTTATATCATGTCCATGTGATAGTGAGCAATATGTTTACAAAATTGCTTGGTTAAATGATGATAAACCTCAAAGTGGTTAATGGTGATGTTAATCTACTTGCAAAAAGTAATATTAAAGTAGCTTTGACTTAATTCTCAATAGTGATCCATTTTATACTAATCTTAAGTTAATACCTTGTTTCTTTGAGATCTTACCCCTTAAAGTATTGGAAAAGGTTATAGCATTTATTTGTTATATTTTGTTAGTTTATTTGTTAGCACTTAGATTATTGGATGGAGAAAGTGTATAACCAAGATATTGATATTGCTAACACTTGTGTTAGTGGAAGTGGCATTGTTATGTCAAGTGATGAAGAACTTTCCTTAGAGTTTAATTTTCCATGTCATTTTTTTGTTAGTGTTTTGGCTTCACATTGAATCTTGAAGGAGATTGAAGAAAAGTGTTAGTGCAATGTGAATATCCAAAGTATTCTTCGTAATTGAGTTTTGGGTATTCATTTGCATTTTGCAAATGTTGATGCTAGATGTCAAAAAATATAAGCATGATGTTCAATGTTTAAGGATGTTATTGGGTCATGAGAATTTATGTTGAGGTGAATCTAGATGATGTTGTAGGTAGAAGGAAGTTAATTGAGTTTTAAAAGTTTGTAATCCTAGACTGAGAGTCATTCTTTCTTTAGGATGGAAAATTTTCCATAAATTTTCTTAAACTTTTTTAATGGTTGATCTGTTGATCATTTTGTCCAAAAACCATTTAATACAAACTAGTGAAGGTTGGAATTGACTTTGGTTGGCTTATACTTTAATATATAATTTGTATGATGTGACCCAAATGGATGCTAACTTTTGGGGCTAAAATAGTTGAGTTGGATAGAGTTTAGAGTTAGTGTAGAAAAATGGCTATTGCACTTTTCTAGAAAGCTAACCCTTGTGCCTTTTTTCTGTAGCATTATGCTAGGTGGCATATTGAACTTTGCATTTCGTTAGACTCTATAAGAGTAATGAGCTCTCATTGATCTAGACTTGATCTTAGTAAGCTTGTGCCTTAGTTGAGGTTAGTGATATCTAAGTTAGTTGTTTGCAATTGAAGTGTTAATACCTATACTATAACTTTGTTTATAAGGAGGTTGTGTACCAATATGAGTTCATCTCATACTCCTCACTTTAGTTATAATTGGGTGTTAATTATGCATAGTTAGCCTCTTCAAGGCATGGTCAAAGCTATTGGCTAGACATGCTAGTGAACTTATTGCAATTGAGCTGGATTTGAGTAGTCATTTAGTTTGTGTTTGTCCAAATTCCTATATTTCGTATCTGGGATATTACTTTTCTGTTGGATTAAAATATGACTCAATAATGTGAATTTAGTGTTTAGGTCTTGTGAAGGTAAGTTGAAGAGTCATTGTTAATTGCTCTATGATTAGAGATTACTTGTAGACGTTGTCGAGGACTGTTAACACGATGATAATTTAGCAGTGATAAACTTACTTTACTAGATGGTGTTGTGGAGGATCATGTCATGGGCTTTCATAATTTTTTATGTTAGTATATCAGTTTTACCTTTATCAATATCATTTGGTTACATTTAGTTTATGGTGTTGGATTACATTGCATCTTAGATGTGGTGGTTCACTCCTTGATGATGTATTATCTATAGTTGAGTATGGTTGAAATATTAGTCTTAAATACTGAGTAAGGTATCTTCGACTTTGGTTAGTTGGGTTGCTAAAGAACTTTAAGTGGTAATTCACTTTTGCTTTTTTCGTGTTGATGGCATTGAAATGATACTTTATCATTAACATTATTGGTGTTGAAATTCAAATGAAGTGAGATATCTCTCCGTATGATTGATTTTGAGTTTAATTAGTCTTGATGTAAATAGTGTTGATGATTTAGTTATAACTTTATATTATTCGCATTGTGCATTTGCTAGTTAGCAACTATGTTAACATTAAGATGAACTAAGTAGCAAGTTGAGTTAGTTGAGTTCTAGTTGAGATTATTTAGTAAGGGTTGAGCTTTGGTTTTTTCTTGAAAAGTGATTTAGTCATAAATTATGCTAGCTTTATGAAAAGAAGAATTAGTGGTCAATATTGAAGTTGGTGGTTCCTTATTGGTTTTAAGTTAAGGATATATTGATCATTAATAATTTCTTTTGTACGTGTTATAAAGTGAGTTACATCTTATTATAAAGATGGATTCATGGAGAATCATCTAATGA